AATGTTAATTTATTATTTGATATAAAGATAATAAAATATTTATGATAAATAACACTTCTATACGTTTCAGGTTGTCGTGTGGTATATCATTGATTGATGAATTCTTTATTCTATATTTATAAACGTATCCTTTCAGATTGGAAATTGGAGAATATAATTTGAATAATAGAAGTAAAAAACAATTTGATAAATGACTTGATGTAAAATATTGGTAGTTAAATTTTGTTTCTCTACAAATTTTAATCACTTATATTCAATGTCTACTTGTAAATTCGTTTTATTTTTTCAAAAATTGAAAGATATTTCGAGTAAATCTTATCTGATATAGATAATATTGTGTTTTGAGGCTATTTTGATACGATGTTATCGTATCTAAGGCGAGAATACGTAGATAAATATAGGCAGAAAGGCTTTCTACTCTCATCTTCGATGATGTATATTATCCTAAATATGAAAATTCTGATCGATAATTTATGTAAGTATAGCATATAATTTGAGAGCAGATATATGAGAGGAACGAACTAAGAATGTTTTATGTCCATTAAATCATTATCATTATTATTATCGTAATCTATGTTATTAAATCTTAATATATGCAACGTAATTATCATGTTTACACTTCTAATAACTTGATCAGTTTGGCAATTATGTGACTAGCTTTTATATTATTCAGTTATCTACTATATATTATTAATTTTTGGATAAGTTAGCTAAAGTTTTTTTATACTAGAAGAAAGGATATTTATGCAGTTTATGCAATTTTCTTTCATTATCGCTAAGAAACTGTTAGATTTGAAACAATATCGGAAAAAAATCGAATAATATGTATATAAAACTCTACAGAGAATTAAATAAAATGATAGAATATAAAATTTTGTTTAGAAAAGATTACATTTAGAAAGAATTGATTCGAAGTAAATATTTATAGTGCGTTTACCTTAACCTTGTTGAATTTCTGTTCACATCTTAATCTGCCAAGCTTTTCCTTTCATAAAAATATATCTTTAGAATAACAAAGACGTGGGTTTGTATTCATTATATACGTAACTTCTGTTAAGCATGAACAAATAAGGTTACTGCGTAATTTAAATCAGCATCAGTACAGCAATATTCTCTGATTTGGATGCTAGAGGAGCGTGTAGCATGTAATTCTTTGCTCGATTTTTCCATCTTTAAACAAATGCACACCATCCGAATATTAAGGGAATAAAACGTGCTTTTTTTAACAAAATGAACATTTGGAAAAATTCCAATATTGCCAAAGTTTTCTGCAAAAAGAAATGACTTGTATGCCGCTATGACGTAACGTATAACCTTGGAGATATGATTAGTATTCTTAAAAACATGGATTAAATATAATGCAATACAAGAGAAATTGATTAAAAGGGACAGTAAACGTCACTTTTTATCTATTACTTAAAGAGTATTAATAAAACGAAGTGACATATTCATATATTGAATATCAAAGCCAATTTTCTTTTGTGTTGACTTCCCCTTCCTACTGCGAAGCCAAAAGGAGAAACATGATTTTCAGGGGCTATTCATATTTTCTTAAGTCGATAGAGTCATAAAAATACGTAAACTATTAAATTATCGATTGATAAATAAGGCAAATAGCGCTATAAATATAATAATTGTAAAGTAATTTATGTTTAAATTATACCCGTTTGATATTTTTAAAATTATTTAATTAACAGTAAGGCGAGTTTAATAGTTTTATCTCTGAAATTGCTCTCTGGGTATCTATCGTCTTGCGTGCTTTCTATGATAACAAAGCTGTAAGTTTCGTTTCTGCTTGAATATTGACAATGCTAGGTCAGTTTTGCCCAGGGCTAAGGAAACTCGCCTTGTATATAAGTTATAAGTGCATAAACTGAGTTGAATTTTTTATAAGAGCCTTCACATACGTATACATTTTTGATAGTTTTATCACACCGATACAGAACAAAAAATAAAATAAAATTTATTAACAAACAATATTTTAAGTATAAAATAAATAAATAAATATTTTGCACCAAAAAATATATTAAATTTTCCTATCAAAATTTCAAATTATGTTACAAAATTAATTATTTTTTATTCCGGATACACGTGTGTTTAAATATATATCCTGGAAGAAAATAGCTATATTTTTTAAGCGTTATACTTGTTTTTTTCTCGAAGAAATAAGCGTAAAAATTAGATTATCCTTACCATTTTTAGGTGATTATAATAAATATTTGGTCTATCCATTGATATCAGAACTAGCCACGACCACCAACACAAGATGTATGAACAGCTAACGTGCAGCATCCATTGTTGCAACTCAATGCGCCATTGGAGGAGGTCGGAGATGAAACGAGAGCATTTATTGGACGATTTCCGTGGCGTATTCGTATATTGAGATAGAAGTAACACGTGGATAATATTTATCCCTCGAAATAATTATTTTCTTGATGGGGAAAATATTTTCCTCTTCTTATTTTATTTTTTTTTATTTTGAGAAATAAAAATCGATTAATGTAGAAGTCGANTATTGAGTATAACTTCACTATCCATGATGTTTCTTGTGTTATTTGCAGTCATTTTTTATTTTAAATATAATAATCTTTCTAATAATACATTATGAATTAAGGACTTCACATAAAATTAAAACTATTTTGTAGATCTTCATATTTTCTTGTTGATTTTTAAATTAGTTATCCAATATGGAAAACGTTTAAGCAATCCACAAGTGGACTGTAGCAAATAGAAACAGAAAATAGCACACATCACACACAGTTCCACCAAATATTGTTTTTCGTATCTCATAGACTACTACTAATAAATTAATATGAACGAAGCTTTATAATCTGAGTATTTAGTATTCTTAAATTTGGAATATAAAAATATAAATTACGCAATATAAGTTTATGTTGTACTTCTATTAAATGACCAAATAGTAAAGCTGGATTAACTGTTGAGCTAGAACTAATTAATTATACAGATATTACATAATTTGAATTAAAGGTTATGCCACACTCTTGTATTAAATTTAATAATTAATTTGGAAGTAAAGATTGGATAGAGGCCTAGTTAGTGTAATTGACAGCATATTTTCATGGTGAACAAGTTGAGCTTGAATTCCACACTAGATTGATCTTTTCTTCAAGAATAGTTATTAATTAATTCATAATTTAATCTAATTATTAAATTTAAGATATTTTTGGCATAAACACTTTAGTTCAAATTACATATCTGTGTAACTGTAGTTATTTTGATTCATTAACAGTTTAAACTTTATTTGAAAATCATAAAAATTATGCATATTTGTAGACAATATTTTGCAATAGTGTATATTTTACTGAGTTTTAAAATTATATTTTATTTGTCAAAATGTTAATTTGAAATTCTTTATAACTCTTTTAATGCAAATTTCAATGCTTTTTGTTCATTTCCATGTAGTAAACATTTTAATTTTTTTAAAAATATGCAGTTTGATTAACCAATTAAAAAACAGTGATGATAACCTATTTCTCTCATTAAAATAGTCTTCAAAAATTTTTCTAAATTTGAAATTATATGGAAATATTTAGATAAATTATTTTTAATNTTTATATTTTATTAGCTATAGAACAATATTTTCATCGATTAAATCAATCAAATTTACTTAAAAAAATTAATTTTTTCACGCTAAATCCTATCTGTATAATGAGATTAACGGGTTTACATACGGATAAACGCATATTTTATAAAGAAAATTATGTATAAAATTAGTTATAATTGAATATTTACAGTGGCAGATTATCCAATAAACACACAAAAGGCCTCGTTGTCTCGAGAGGCCTGAAAAATCACGTAGCAAAAAGATAATATGCTTCTAAAAATTTAGTGTATAAAGAAAAAACTTATTATTTAATAATTTTATTGCCTTTATAAAATTTAAAAAAACACTCCACGTAAAGGGACTTATAAGAAAATTGTGCCTAGGGCCTCAAAGGGAGAATTTAAAAATCTGATTAAGATGGAAATAATAGAGAAATTGTATCAATTGGAGTAGAATTTTCTAAAGTGGTTTCATTTGTTGCTAACAGTAAGTTGTGATTTTCTCTGCTAATGGAATGGTGAATACTTCCAAAGAAATAAATATTTCGTTCTGTTAATTGCATACTAAAAGGAGAGAAGGGGGAAGAAAATAAAAGAAAGAAACAGAGGGGAGAAAAAAAAATCTATTCTTTATCTGCTTAAATTTAGAAATTGGCAACCATTTGAATATTAATTGAATCGTAAAGGTTAAAGTGAAAGTATTATCGAGTCGAAGCTAAGTTAGATTAAAGGCGATTCTTATGATTAAACTTCTAGAAACTTTCCAATTTACTTAAAAACCTAATTTAATTTAGATAAATTATTTTTAATACTTTTCTTTTAACACCTAACTAAATATACAAGTACACAATTGTATACATTTAAATTATCAATTTCTATGCAGTAGTCCTGCAAACTCAATGTGAACCAAGAAGGTGACAAGTTACCAAAAATGATGAGTTTTGTGGCATAGAAATGATGCTAGTCTAAATAATGGAATTTTCATAAAGGTATTAGATGTGTAAATTCACATACACCAATAGTAGCTATTTCTATTCGTAGTTAAATTTTAATTATGAATAGAAACTATTGGCTATTCAGTGGCTTTTTTTGAGTTAGTGATATTTGCATTATGGCATTTGGCAGTGAATCTTAGAAAAAGTATTATATTCTTTGTTAACATGTGGAAATGATGCTATTGTAAAGTGTCATCAGTGAAGAATGAGAACTTGTTTAATCCTAGTGTTAAGTTATATAGACAGAAATTAAATTACTTTCTTTTTAATGCCACAATGAATTGTATGGAATATTATGTTATCAAGAGTCAAGTTTCTGAAACTCTGTTAATATACTTAACACAGATTTATTATATTTTTATTTATAAGGACTAATACATAAAGATTTTATCATCTAAATTTTTTATCTTTTGGATATTCCTAATTTTTATTACTTTAAGAATAAATTAGAAAAATTAAGTATTAATTAGGTTCACTTTACAAAATAAAAATAGATTAAAGATTTATGGAAAGATGGTGCACTTACTATGAAGACAAGATGTTGGGCCCAAGGCATGGATGGGTGGCGTCCCCTTCATAATATTCCCCAATTGAAATGGTGTTTAATGGCAACAGGAACTGCATTAATGAATGAAAGTGAATTAGCTAATCATATTCTCAAAATGTTAATCAGTATTTGTGAATATTTCCCTAGCCGGTAAGATAAATTGCTCTGTAATTTAAAAGATCCTTATCCTGCATATAAATATATTACAGTAAATATAATAAAGTTATTTATTTATTTAATGATTAAATTTATTGCAAGATAATGACATTGACTGTAGTACCAATTAAGTAATAATTTAATTGAATTGTAGCATTAAAATGCTCATAAAATTCTGACTGATTGATATTGATGAATTTTGTTGTTTTATATATATATGGTATGGTAACTCCAAAATTTGTCTAACAAATAAAATTTTTTTAATAGAGTAAAAATATTTACTCCATTGTAAATGTTGTTTTACTCATTAAAGCAGTTAATTAATTTTGTAAGTCAGTTGATATTAAGATGGAAAAAATTATATAAATCATTTTCTAGAGATATGGATGGTGCTATTGTAAGACCTTTACCAAGAGTTAAACGTTTGTTATCTGATGCAACATGTCTTCCGCATATAGTACAGGTAATGCTATATACTTGTATAAATATTAATTTAATATATATAATTTTGAATTTTCAATTAATAATATATTTATTATATATTTAACATTTTGTAGCTTCTGTTGACTTTTGATCCTATTTTAGTTGAAAAAGTGGCAGTCTTGTTACATTTGATAATGCAGGATAATCCTAGTATGCCTCGTTTGTATCTTACGGGATTTTTTTATTTTATATTAATGTATACTGGATCAAATGTTTTATCGATTGGAAAACTTTTAAAAATGACTCATGCCTGTCAGTCATTTCGGTCAGAAGAGGTTAGTCATACTTTTTATTTATCACAAACAATTCATAATTTTTCTCAATATAATTGGTAACTGTAATTATATTTTTATGTACAGACACAATCTTCAAGTATAATGCTTCAAAGTGTTCTTGGACAACTTTTACCTGAAGCAATGGTTTGTTACTTAGAAAATCATGGACCAGATAAATTTGCTCAAATATTTTTGGGTGAATTTGATACTCCAGAAGCAATTTGGAATAATGAAATGAGGTCTATTATTTACATATATTTTATAGAAACGTAACAAAACACTTGCCATAAATAATCAGGCTATAACTCTACTAATTTAATACAGTAGACTCCCCATAACACTATTGATAATTCCGTGTTATATGAATATGAGTCACTTAGATTTTACAAATACGTGTGCCGGGCTGTGAATAGCTTACGTATTTGTAAAATCTAAGTGACTCATACAACATGGAATTCATATAACATGGAATTATCAACAGTGTTATAGGGGGGATATACTGTAATTAATGCTAAGTAATTTGTATTAATCATTAAATTAGCAGAATTATAGCCCGATTATTTAAGACAATTGTTTGGTGATGTTTTGAAATATATATCGGGCTTCGCAATGTTTGATATACATATATCTTGTTTTACAATGATAAAAACTTGTTTTTTACTTTATATCTTAATGTTTTTAGGAGAATGATGATAGAGAAAATTGCAACACACATTGCTGAATTCACACCACGATTAAAATCAAACACTAGAGCCCTATATCAATATTGTCCTATACCAATAATACAATATCCACAACTTGAAAATGAACTGTTCTGTAATATTTATTATCTTCGGCATCTCTGTGATACAAATCGTTTTCCTAATTGGCCTATTTTGGATCCTGTAAGTGTCAAGAGTTTTGTGTGATAAATTTTTATATTTTGTTGTTCTCATTTTTTATCATCATTATTATTATTTAGATCAAATTATTAAAAGATGTCTTAGATGCATGGAAACAAGAAGTAGAAAAGAAACCCCCATCACTCTCAATAGATGATGCCTATGAGACATTAGGTTTAGAACGTGGTCAAATGTAAATATACATATATATTTAATTAAATTATTATAATATATTACAATACTGTAAATGAAATTATTTTACATATTTAACATTTTAATATTTGTTTTTTAGTTATGAAGAAAGTGTAATAAGAAAATCTTACTTTAGACTTGCTCAAAAATATCATCCAGATAAAAATCCGGACGGAAGGGTAACTCAACTGTTTTGTGTACTGAAAAAGAAAGCACTGTGAAATAAATTTAATTTTTGTTAACTTTCAGGAAATCTTTGAAAAAGTAAACAAAGCATATGAATTTCTATGTAGCAAATCTTCCAAACAGTGTGAAGGTCCTGATCCACAAAACATTGTCCTAATTTTAAAAACTCAAACAATACTTTTTAGTCAATATCAAGAAGGTAAATTAAATTTAAAATTTCTAGTTTTAACATTTTCTTATTTGATATATTTATCTTGCCTTGAAATATTTCACAGAACTTCATCCCTATAAGTATGCTGGATATCCAATGTTGATTAAAACAATTCAGATGGAAACTGGAGATGAACAATTATTTTCTAAATTGACACCATTATTAGCTGCTGCTGCGGAAACTGCATACCACACAGTAAATTGTTCAGCTTTGAATGCCGAAGAACTTCGACGAGAAGGAGGATTAGAAGTATTTATTTATCAATATAGGTTATTTTAAAATTAAATTAGTTTACAGTAATTTTATTTTACAGGTATTAAAAGAAGGATTTTCCAGATGTGTTGGAGTTCTTAGTCATTCATCAAAAATGGATGATTTTCCAGTTCAAGTGTGTGTTCATATTGCACATTGTTTTACAGTAGCAGCTCAGTTCTCAGCTTGTAGAGAAAGAATGATAGAAATGCCTGAGATGATAAAAGATATATGTCGTATTCTTTATTTTAAAGTAAGAGTTATCATATAGAATAATATTTTGTTTTATTGATTTTAAAAAAAAATTATTATTTGTTTTATTAGCAAGTTCCTAAACTTTGTGCTGTGATTGTTGAATGTATCAGTTCACTTGCAGTTGATGAAATACTTCAGATGCATCTATTTCAAGCAGGTGTTTTATATCACCTTTTGCAATTTTTCTTCAATTATGATTATACATTAGAGGAAGGAGGAGTTGAAAGAAATGAGGAAACTAATCAGCAAGTTAATAAAATTTTTAAATTAATTTTTGGACTGAATTTAAATGGAAAATTAATTTGTTTTTTTTTTTAATCAAGGAAATTGCTAATCAGTTAGCAAGACTGAGTGTTGTAGCATGCAGTCGGTTGGATGGTTATGCTGGAAAAGGTCTAACGCCTGAAAATTTTCCTATTCACAGAGCATTGAATGCAATGCTGACTCCCTATCTTGCTAAGCAATTGAGTTCACTTCCAGCTTCTGAGGTTTGAATTTAATAATAATTTCTAGATAGATATATACCTACCTAACTTTCTAAAATGCAATAGTATTGTGAGAAACCAGGGGTTACAGGTTGTTACTATTAATAACTTGAATTGATTCTCACCATTCCTCATAATTCTCTTCAATTTATTGTTGTTTTTCTTTATTAGTTTCTCTGATGCATTTTATTCTTGCTTTCTATGACAGGATTGTGATGTTGGAGTTTCTTCAATTTATTATGTACAATTCTTTTATTAATAAAGCTTAGTTCACACTGAGTGCAATTTGCTTGCAAAAGCGAATAACATGTCAGACGTGATGTCGTTTCTGGCAAATTTTACCATTTTGCAAATTGCTTCAAAGTTCAGAACTGTCAATTTTTTTTTGCTAGCGAAAAAATTTCACCACCAATTGTCTTCCCATTAGTTGTCACGTGGTTCTTGTTGTTTTTAAGATGGCTACAGAAACTTTCTCACGCAATAGAGTAAATGTTGTAATTATGGATTTTTAATATTCTTCTCACCTGCATCATTTACTTTTTGATGTATCTTTCTTTCTCAATAAATAAACGTGGTTAACAACAGAATATCGGAAGTGGCCATTTTGTTTTTTAAGATGACATTTTCTGTCTCTTGCAAATGATTGGCTCCTTAAAATGCTGCAATTGCCTTTTGCCTTTGGTTGTATAAATCAATTTCGCTAAGCGAATAAACTCGCTTTTTGCTTTTCTCATTTGCTCAGTGTAAACTAAGCATAATAATTTTAATATGACATTACATACAATCCTGGTCACTTATCTCTTGTCTCTTCGTTCACCGACGAATTACGTCAAAGCGAGAGACGAAATTCGTCTCTCATACACAGTGGCGATTCTGGTCGTTCGTAACGATCTCGTCTTTGTTGTTGTTGTCATGATTTTATTTGGTTGATTATACATGTTCGGGTTATCTGCGCGCGCAACACAGTATAGAATTTTAACCAATGAAATTGTAAAATTTTTGAAAGTGCAGAGTATGTAATCATAGATCATGTGGCAAGGAAAGCACGTGTTCAAATAATGCATGTAATTTTTCGACGAAGTAATTATTTTTTAAAAATGTTTTATAACGTTTTTAGATTGTAATGTCAATTTGTCTCTCTTAACAAATTAAAATTTTAATAACCTAAGTTAGAAAAGCGTGAGTTCTTAGATATTTTTCGAAATATTGCGATCTAATTTCTTCTTAAGTATCTAAGTAAGATTAACATCATATTCGACAGTTCAGTAATTGATGTAGGATAATTAAAAAAAAAATGGAATCAGTGACGTTTCCAAGTAGGCACTGGAAAAAAATCAGGATTTTCTCTCTCAAAATATTCTTTCCCAAGATAGAGAACATTCTCTAATACAATTGTACAGTGTGAGTAGCATCCAATCATCCATATTGGATATAACGAAATCAAGGCGAAGGACGAAAGAACGACCGAAAGACAACTATCCGCTCGTCTCTGATAAACAAGAGAATCGAAGAGAGAAAAAGTTGTCCAGAATCGCGTTTAGAGAGATGCAATGATCTCTCGAGACGTAAACAAATGATCAGCCAATCAGAGTGGCTTGTGAGACGAGAGACGATGACCAGAATACGGCCCCTGATCATGTAGTTTCAAACAAAACTGTTTTCTCCTTAATTCAAGCACTTATTAGTTTTACGTAGAAGAATATCCTATTTAATTGTAATTCCCAAATTTTGTTATTAATATAGTTGAAAATAATCAAATTTATGTTCTGTAAACATACAGCATATATTAAGGTCTTATATCTGTTTGATATCTAGATTTAGTAAAATAGCTGTTATATCAAATTTGAACTTAAAATATATAAAATCTGTGTGTCAGTTTCAAATGTTTTAAAATACTATAATGGATGTATTTGTCTAATTGTTTTTTTAGAAATTATTTATATACACAGAATTTTTTATCATTGATGATGATGATTACTTAATTCCATCAGATATTCTAAATTAACAATTTAAAAGTTTTTAAAGTTAGAATAATATGTTTTTAATTTAATAAAAATTGCCTCTTGTCCTCCTTTTAAATTTTAATGGTTATTAAGCTTCTGTATTGGCTTCTAATCTGAGACCTTATCATACCTTTTTGGAAAATATTTTCACTTAGACTTTTTTAAAATAAAATTTAAAAAAATGAAAAAATAAATAAAGGTGTAATAAAAATAATAAAGAACCTGTAACCCAAAAAGCATCTATGTTAAACTGAAAAGGGACATTATTGAATACAGTAGTACCTCGACTTACGCGAACTCAGTTACGTTATTTTCAAATCTTGTCAATTCGTCTTTTGAGCGCCACACAACTCTTGATTACTCACTCCCCCCACACTATTGTTCAGCTTACATGTTCGGACGTGTAGAGCGGAATTGACGCATAGCTACAATTTATTTTGTGTTATTGATTTCTGTGTTTGTTATATCTACGGAGACTTGAGAGACTCTATGTGGTGATTTCTTGTAACCGTGAACGAATCAAAAGACAAGATAAGATTAACGAGAACATTTATTAGCTTACATACATCCGACTTGGATTTTACACAAATTGTGAAATTATACCCCGACTTACGCGAATTCGACTTATGCGGTTATCGCTCGGTCTCACCTATCGCGTAAGTTCGGGGTATTGCTGTATTCATTTTGGACAGTTAAGTAGAACAGCCATAAAAAATGTCCCTTGGTGTCTTATCATACCTTTTTGGGAAATGTTTTGACTAAGTTCTCAGATCAGATATGGCTGTAAAAGCTTAATAATCATTAAAATAATATTTTTTTTAAATTTATGCTGCTTTAAAATTGAAACTTTGATATTTAAAAACCTGTAAAAAAAATTACAAATATTAATTTAAACAATTTCAATTCTTAGGTTTTAAAACTCTTAAATAGTAATACAGAAAATCCATATTTAATTTGGGATAATGCTACAAGAGCAGAATTAATGGAATATTTGAAAAATGAACAAAGAAGCAAAATCAGATCAGTAAGAATTTCTTATATTAATTACTGTGTTTGTTTTTAAATATTATTTAATAAAAATTTTCTGTTTATGATTTAGGGTGAATGTGATCCTTCTTTTGGAGCTGATTTTGTTTTTACCGTACATTCCTCTGAGTTAATTATTGGAGAAATATTTGTTAGGATATACAATGAACAGTCAACTTACCCTCTACAAGTAAGTATGGATATTTAATAAGACTTAATTATTTTAATAAAAAAAATAATTACATTTTATATTGATAGGATCCAAATCGCTTTACTTTGGATTTATTAGATTATCTTGGGTCACAAGCACAATACCTTCATTCACTTATGGCTTTAACAGCAGCAAAAGTAGGTGTAAATAAAAATGTTGAAAGATTAAGAAATGTTGAGATGGCATTAGAAGCATTAAAAAATGTCATACGTAACAATCCAGGTATTGAATATATAAAAGACTATAAATTTAGAGTCTAATTTTAAAAAAATTAAGATTTCATTTATTTATTTAGGTGTGGAAGTCCAGTGTATTGGCCATTTCAAGTTGCTGTTTAGCCTTCTTCGTTTAGATGGTTGTTCTAAAGTTCAAGCTCATGCAATTGATGTAATTTTTAGAATTTATTTTTATTATTATTACTAATTTAAAATTGAAATAAAACTATTTGACATTTAGGTAATTGCGGGAGTCACTGGTAATCAAGAGTGTGTAAATGATATTGCTGCATCAGAAGTCTTAGTTTATCTTCTCCTTATTTTGCACTCTTTTGCTAATTCAGCTAGTATGTATTCTGTGATTTAATTGATTTTTTAAAAATGTATATAACTTTGAAACTTTCAATAACGAAAATTGATAAAAAAAATTTTGTCACAGGTCAAATAACTGTATTGGAAACAATGTTACCTCTTATGTCAAATAATAGATTAGTTAAAGAATCAATGTACAAAGGTAAATTGTAATTTATAAATAATGTAATTTTTATCTGGAAAATTTAAAAAAATTTTTTATAGGTGCTGTGATATATTTGTTAAATTTATTTTGCAATTCACCAAATCCTAATGTTCGAGAACATACTGCTGAGTTGTTAGCAAAAATGACAACAGATAAATTAATAGGTCCAAAAATTAGAATAATTTTAGGAAAATTTCTTCCCCAGTTATTTTTAGATGCCATGAAAGATTCTTCTCAAGCTGCTGTACATATGTTTGAAGGTATAATAAGTAAAAACTAAAAATAATGATTTATTGATTTGGTTCTGAAAATATTTTAAAATTCATAGGTACACAGGAAAATCCAGAATTAATTTGGAATGAAGAAACAAGGGAAAGAGTATGCAATATTGCAAAAAGAATGGCTGATGAGTAAGCTATTACCTTTAACTTGAGTTTTCTACTTATCTATTATATACTTAAAAAATATACCTATTGCAGACATTACAGAATGCAAAAAGATAATCCATCAGCAACTTGGAAGGTTGTTGTTTTTCTTTATGTATTAAGCAGATTTTATATACGGATTATAATGGGCATTTTATCTTATACAGCTGCCAGATGATTTTTCTTTAGAATTACCAAAAGAGCAAGGGGAGATTATACTAGCTGGAGTTTATTTAAGATTATTTATTCAAAATCCAGGTTGGGTCTTGAGAAGACCAAAAGAATTTCTGATAGAACTATTGAACAAAGCACATGAATTAATGTCTAAAACAGGTCTTAATGTAAGTAACATTCTTTGTACATTTTCAGAAAAAAAATTGAAATTAAAATAAAATCTAATTTTTTTACATTAAGCTATTTCTAAATAAGAACTTTCATATAATTTTGTATTTGTTTAAGATTTCATTTTATTGCTTTCATGTTATGTAAAATAAATACATTAAATTCCACAATAAAAAAATGTGTTAAATTTCTCATATGATAAAAAGTATTTGAATCACAAAAATTTTATATACTGGTAGAGTAAAATTCAAATGTAGTTCATTAAAAATTAACTGTATAAAAGAAGATCCAGCAATGAATTGCATAACTTGGCAAAAAGTATTCAAGAAATACTAAGAGACGCTAGCACAAAGTTAAAATTGTGTATGGTGTCATCTATAAAAAAATAACTTTGCTTTTCTATAGTAATTAATAATATCTAACCTGAAAAGTGAAGACTTGAGTTTAAAAAAAAAAATTGTAAATACCAATAACAAGTAAAATTTTAAGTCTATAAACTACCAAATGGAATTGGTAAGTTCTTAAAACAGGAATCTGATAAAATTACTATCAGTGATGTCAGAAAAGTGTTTTCATCATGGAAAATTTGATGAGGTATGATTGTCAATGCTGTGAATATCACATTGAGCAAATGAAATACATATGATTCTGTAATTCACCAGCATGAAAGTGTTCAGTTTAGTGAACACCCTCTATAATACATCTCGCATCGTATAAGCATTTTTAGCTCACACTTGTGAAATAGGAAAGGATTAGAATACTAAATATGGTTTCTCATAGAGAAGTTTAACACATTAATACTGTTTCAATTTTTGAATTTAAATTTTGATCAATTTTTGAAAATCATTATGCTTGAAAGAAGAGAAGGGAGAGGACCATACATTTTGAAAGGAGTCTCCCTAGATCTTTGGCTTTATTTGCCTTTGTAGGATGGCTTTTGACTATAGCAAAGTGTAGTGATGATATGCAGCAGAGGGAAAAAAGTTGTTCTACTGCTATGCAAAATAGATAAGACGATTAAGTAATTAAAATATTTTAAGTTGTGTTAATTAGAAAATCTTGGTTACAAAATTTATTGAAATTTTTTATGGTATATATTTCAGATTTATGAATGCATTAGAAAAAAATTAAAGTTTAGTTTATGAAATCATGTCTGTCTGAAATCTACTAAATAGGCATTTGTTAAATTAAGGAAATATTGCATTATTTTCCTGAAATATACAAATATGTTAGCATGTATAAATATTTTGATATTTCAAAATAAATTGTTAGATGAGTTGATACTATAGATAAGTCAGGTTTTTCTAATAATTGTAAAATGTAATATCCAGGAAGTAATCAAGTAAAATTTAGTGAATTATTTTGAATTAATAAATTTACTGTAGTTGTTGTTAATTTATTAATAGTTACATAATTTTATATGTAATAATTTTGAACTGAATAAGAAATTTTGACATTTTATATATAATAGTGTACATGCATATCACTGAAAATTTCATAATTGATTACTGAACAGTTCTTTGAATATTTTCATCTAATTTAATTGGATTGCAATGATAAATTTATTATTAAAATTTTTAAATTTGAAAACTTATACCATATATTTTTGTAACTTTTACTCAATTATTGTTTATCGAAATTGCATTCTATTTATTTTATAAATCTTTTTAATACAATTTGGATTAATAATGAAGAGAATAAAATTCTTAAGCTGCAATTTGAAAAAATTGTAACTTTTATAAATTCTCACTATTGTCTGCCTGTCCTTCCTTAATCTCAAAGATGGTGTAAGATGAATGAAAGTCAAGACCAGATACAGAAAGCTTAGAGGCAGGAGACTTCAATTAACTGTATACAAATTTCTGGTTATAACCAGAAATCACATTATTTCAATTAAAAATTTTTCCCTAAATGGAGTTAGATAAATGACCAGCATGACTATTGCTAACAGGAAAAGTGTGATGTACCTGTACAGGAGCAAGACACTACTAAAATCAAGGCTTATATTTTAAATTAAATAGATTGAAATATGATTAAAAATTGCAGTCCAGCATTGTGACAATGTCACAATAAATAATTGCTCATTCATATTGCTTTTAATTCCAGTTTGCTGATAATTTCAAGAATTTTTAAATGGATAATTATATAATAAATTTATAGGGAGAAATGTTAGAAACCATAATTCAAGCATTAGTAAGTTTTCTTCAAGCTCAACCTGCTTTACTCGATCACATTCCAGCTATGGGTCACATCCCTCGACTTATGAAAGTAATGGGAAATGGTCAGGAGGGCACAGCTAGATCCTGCATTCTTATACTCCATCAATTAGTGAACAATGAGGTATTACTTTATAATTAAATATTTTTAAATTTCATAAATTTATAAAAGTTCTTGTAGTTAAAAAAAAATATCATTTAAACTAAATTAGGGATGTATAAAATCACTTGCACAAGTGGAATGTATACCACCTCTAATTAAAGCTATGCAGCTTCGTCAGGATATGGTAGGAATTGCCTGTGAGGTACTCAATAAAATGTTTATGCAGAAAAATGAAGAATTAACACAACAGGTAACACACTTTATTTCATTTGTTTTAAATAATAAATGTGATTATCTAATTTAAAAATAATTACCAGGCTATAGAAGCAAAACTTGTTCCTTATTTATTACAATTGCTTGAAGGAAAATTAGAAGCTGTATCAAATCCATCTGCTACCAGAGCCCAAATTGTTCAAGCTTTAAAATCTTTAAGTGATTCTCTGCATTATGGAGAACAGGTAGAATAAATTTTTTGCTTTTATAATAAATTTTTTATGAAATCAAAAGTAACATTTTTTATTAATCTATTATTAGATTAAAAACATGTTAGATCAGTCTAAAGTGTGGTCCGATTATCGTGAACAAAAGCATGATCTTTTCATTTCCTCCACGAATACTGCAGGATACTTGACTGGTGAGAATTATTTTTTTTATTCTCTTATTTTAGTTTAATTACTTATACATACTTTATTTTAAATATTTTAGGAGGCACACCTAACGTTGCTGGTTATTTAACCCAAGATACAACTAGAATTATGCCATCTTCTCCACCACCTTTCAATGCTGATGGTTCAACAACTGATGGTTGAACAACTAGTGTTCCATAGTCATTCCGTTCCAAGTGTAAAATCAAATGGGTCACAGAAGACTTTGCACTACTTCTACTGAGTCTAAGCCTTTGTGACGATCATTGCCATATAATATGTATAAATATTACGAACTTGGATTGATTGTGTTTTAGACAATCAAATGAACCTGCAGAAATTTTGTATCATCATAATATGAACAAAAAAAATTTGCTATAAATGAAAATATTTCCCACAGAAAAGAGGAAAAACAAAAAGTAAATTTGAATACAAGATTTGCAATTTATTCATTGGATGCAAAAATTACATTCAATTACTGTTGCGCCCGAAAAAGTTTGTCAAGGACGAGCTTTCATTTCACATCTCATAATGGGAACAAAACCTAAAAGATTAAATGAAATTGTTAATGTCCTTTATTATCTGTTATCAAGTGATGAGTTTATGTTGTAATTTGTACAATACAATATACTAAATAAAAATATTTTGTTGCAACTTTGTTTTGTAAATAAGTTTTTCTTTCTTAAAAACGTAGATATATAATAAACTTTCTGCAATAAAATTATATATAATTTCTATTATATTAAAACTTCACTCTATTATAAAAATTTTAGAGTAAAGTTTTATAATTTAGTTTATTGCAGTTATAATATTAAAAAGGTAAGACTTTAAAGAAAGGACCCCACACAAACCTTATGGAAAATGAATCCAGTGGATTATGCTGAATATCTCAATATATTGTAGTTCTTGTAGTCCCAAAGTCTTCATAGACAATCAAAAATGGAGTTTTTGAATTATTGAGTATCCAAAATACAAAAACAGCATAGTTTGCATATTTCAATATGCAAACTATGCCTTTTCATTTTAAAATATAAAATGACGTCTTCAAACATTATTGATATTTGGCAATATACTGATTAGTTTATATAGATTCCATCAGATTTGTTGAGAGTTGTGAAAAATTCCTCATGTCTTTGAACGGCGACATATTTGTTAGCAGTTTCAACTCCATCTATTCAAGCCATTTGCTGTGGAAGAAACCCATCTCAAATGTAAGAATACAAATCATTTCTGAAAGTTATAGCAGGCTATTTCAGAATTATGGAAGTTAATAATTAATGTAAATAAGAAAGATTATAAATTATTTTTTCATTCTATCTTGATAAATGAGATATTAGACAATTTAAAGTACTTTTTATATTAACTATCTTCATATCAAAAGACCAGAAAAAAAGATTTACCAATATGAAGACCAAAACTTTGGAAATACATATTAGTAGTATTTTATTAGTGATTGATTAATTCAATGTTCAGAGTTTCTTTTCAATCGTCAAGTCTCAGCAGAGTGAGTCTTTTCCCAGAAGGGCCTGAATACACTATATAGCTCTATCTACTGGCACAGTTCAAACCTAAATGGTGTAATACTCAAATTTGTATGTATTGCATAGTGATTTCCCTAGAAGAAAATCTAGATAGCATGCTTGAGCATTAATAACATTTGAAAACATCATTTTACATTTTAAAATGAAAAAGATTTAGAGCTTCAGAATGTGAAAATTGTGCTGTTTTTGCATCTTCAATGCTTGTAACTCAAAAACTGCCCATTTTTTGACTTTGTGCCTATGGAGATTTTCAATTGAAACCAATACAACTATAAAATATCAAAGAATTCATCCAAATTCACTGGGACTCGTTTCCCATATAGTTTGTGCAGAACCCTTTGGAAAATTTCAAATCGTTTCAAGATCATTTTGATATTTTGGCCAAAATTTTGAATTTAGTTTCTAGTTTAAGTGAAATTCCATCTATAACAGATTATATACAGGTTCAAAGGAAAGACTGTGAACTAACTTTTACCCTGCTTGTCGTGGCAACAATATGGAACTAAAGAAAACTAAGAGAGGGACAAAAAAGGTCCAATTACAAAATGAAAGAGCAGAAAATGTCAGTGGAAAACCAATTTCCAATGTTCGGCAATAATTATTGGCATGGATGTCTGTAGAGGGAGACAAATGGGGCAGTTGACTCCCTAAGATTGAGTAAACTTCCACAATTTATAATTACAAAAGTGATTGAGATATATAACCATACACCCTTGCTATATACCATAGGATTCTTTGATGCAGTAGTGTATTCTATAATCTACTTGTGAAAATACCTCAAAAAATTAAATTACCTTAATAAATAAATAATTTATTAAGGTAATTTAATTTTTTGAGTTATTTTCACAATATTATATAAATTATTTATTATTTTTTCCAAGGTTTGTCCCTCATTGGAAAATTTTCTGAGGGTACACTAAGAATCAACAGATTTAAAGAGAAGCATTGTCAATGCCTATGATTCTGTAACCTGCACTATCACAAACAATAGACATCTTGATTTGGAACAGAACTTTATATAGAATAGTATGCAGCATTGCAGGGGGCAATTAGTTGCACCTGTGTTTCCATGAACATCTGTGTTGTTTAGTACATAAATGTTCACTGCTATCATTCTGTAATTGGACATTTTTGTCTCTCTTAGTTCCTGGTTTTGCCACTAAGGGTGCTAAAATCACATTCAACGGACTATGAATGGTCACTTTCCTATAGGTACCAATTACTTCTGTGGCATTATGACAGGTGGTTTAAAAGTTATAGAGGGAGGTGTAGGGACTTTCCTTTGAACCCTGTATATAGTGGCAATAAGAAAGCCTTTATTTTATTTTTCAATCATATATTCAACCAGGTCCACGAGAGGGACAGGTGAGCGACAAGGAACGGGACAGACCATTGTGAAAAATTCTTGGCTTAGCTTGCTCAGATTGATTCTAAGTTCCCCAGAGTACATCTTAGCTCCACCCATCTAGCCTTTAATAGGTTTTTTAGATCTTGTAACACTAATAATAGTGGGATAGCAACATTTAAATATAAGTATTATATAGTACTTCATTGATAGAAAATAAATTATTCATAAATAATGTCATTGATACTTAAATGTCAATTATTGTTTTCAAACATGACACTTGATATATTTAAAAAAAAAATAGTGATTACTTAGTTTCAGTATGTATAATATAGCTTATACTATACTAATGGTATGAACTACTAATTTATAGTATATTCTAATTGTGACTAATTTAATTTTGAATTTTTTAGACCTAGCAAGTTAACCAGAGAGAGTTTCTGTAGCAGAATTGGAGACAGTCTAAAACCACTGGAAATCAGTCTTTATTTGAATGTCAGTAGTTAACAGATATTGTGAAAAATATTCTAAGCTTTAAAAACTCTGGATTATCTCTGGCAGAAATTTAAAACAATTAAATTTCTTAGTAAACTGTAGTAAACAATTTTCTATAAGATAAAGATACTTATAGAACAAAGAAGTCTGAATGAAATTGTTAATGTCGTCAAAAAGTCATGCAGTTGTTAGCTTTCCAAGACTGTTTAAAATTACTGATATTTTATGATAAGTGCAGTTAAAGTGCAAAGCAAAACTATATGAAATGTTTTGTCTAAGTTTAAACTTAAAATATGTGAAAATGCAATATGAACTATCTTAACTAAAACACTTTAAGAGATGCACTTGGAGTTTGCAACAAAATGCATCAGCCAGTAGCTATATCCAGTTGAGGGGTCTAGACCACTGATGAATTTTTCTCTGGTTTAATGGATGAATCCCCATGACTTGTTGCTTACATTTTTAAGTTTTCTGATGCAAAACCTAACATAGATTTACATAATGCTGAAGAATATATCATCTCTACAGCTACATTATCAGTTATCATGCAAATATCAATCTATTTCATTGCCAACCACTATGTTAAAATAATAATAATTTATCACCCTAGGAATTTGGCTGCCTATGTGCATGCACACACTGCAAACCTACCAGAATCAGCCCTGATGATAGATTTTAAGAAAAATACATTTCTCCTTGAAGTTAGCAACTTTTCATTTGGTACAAATAAGGCTTTTGCCTTATTTTGAAAAGTTAGCCATCATTTAAAATGGTAAAAGCAAACAAGGCTTTTGCTTTATTTACTTTTACCATTTTAAACAGCTGAAAATATGTGAGGCTCTGGAAGTGGACCGAGAACACACTCAAAGAAAAATTAAATTGTTTTCTTGTGTAAAAAGAAAAAAATAATAATAATTATATTTTGTGAAAAACCAGCAAAAAACAAAGGGAGAAGAAAAATAGAAAATTTTGTGTCCATAAAAGGATGTGTTTGAAGAAAATTCTGAGAGAAACATGCTTTTCAAATTAAAACAAAAGAATAATATGTCCTAAGATTGAACATCTTCAATAGGAATTCAATTGTCAGTTGGTGTTGACTCATCCTGCAATCTGGGTTCTGATCTTGTTACATTTTATAATGAGTGGGGACCAATTGGAAACGGAAGTGAGTTGGAATCAACCTATCAGAATGTTCGATCTGGGGTTCGAAAAAGTGATAAAAATTGGGATTCCAAGGACACGGAGAGCTCCTCCTCCTGTCTTCCCATTGTATAACACCATACAAAGAAAACGAAAATCACCTCCATATTCCGACATTGATCAGGATTACATTTTGATTTCGTGATGGACTTTCTCCATCCAACATCCCGGGGCCTTCGCCTTTCCAAACAGAACCGGGAAAGATAGTTACTGTAAAACATTCACTTTTCAAAAGAAGCAACTCAGAATATTGTTTGTCTGTAATATATATATATTTTTTTTGTTATAATAAACCGGGTAAATTGTTTGTAACTGTGGAATTTGTCTCTGTGCCAAACACACCCATTCACGCTTTGGAGCGACTCAGATATCATGTTGATACGCACGGTTCGGCAACCTCACAAATATTCATTTGCTATCCAAATGTGACAGAAAAATGATTCTCAGGTGGAGTTTAAAATAAGCGAGGAATCACTTCCATCATTTTCAATTAATTGTGGATAGTCATTTTCTACATGGTGATTGCAATTTTATTAATGGAATGAGCTTTAAACTCATCAGAAAAGAGACTGAAACTTATATGAATCATAATTGTGGCTTGTACATGTTTTAAAATATTTATATTCATTTGAAATTTAATGTTTTAATTAATTATTTGTATTTTGATTTAAGAAATATAACAAATTTCCAAAAAAAAAAATAATACTGTGAACCATTTACAGTAGACTCTTACTAATCCAGCAATGCACAGAGGAAGTGCTGGATTACTTTGTGTGTATAGGCCAAAAGCCTGCCTAAAGGCAATGAATGGCATTTTGCTTTTAGATACTGATTCTTTGATTTTTGTCTTTGAAGTTAATTATGATACATCAATTTTTAAATTTTGTCTTCTTTTTTTAACTATGATCTGTCATTTTTTAACTACAACATTTAACATTTCTGAATAATCTTTGATTGTTAGCAATTTGAGTTTTGTAATAACATATTTACAATTTATTTAAACAAGATTTAAAGTATGGTTTTCTACTTTTTATTTTAATGTAAGATTTTTAATTTTCTTTATATTCTGGACTTTAAGACATTTAAAATCATTTGAATTAATGTTATATAGGATAGAGATAAATATTTATTAATCTTTCAATAAATATTGAATAAGTTACAACTCTTTTCAAATAATAAGCATATTATCTGAAAGCTAATAAAATACTTGGTACACTAATAGTATATAAACCTTGGTGGCCAAGTGGTTAAAGTGGCAGCCTAATGCTCTGGGATACCTGTGATCAAATTAGGACAAATTGAAAAATCACAGGAATTTTCAGGAGGATATGTCTGGGCTGTGTTCAGTAACACAGAATTCTTGCTATGTCCAGTTATGCTGCGATGTTGAACTCGTTTCTAACTACTGCTTGACTTCTTCCACCACTAGAATTCTACCTAGTTCAGTCAGCTTCTTTTATCTATGCTAACTTCACCTAGTGATGTCATTGTTTTTGTCGTGCTGTACGATTTGCAAGATGGCTGTTCGTGTTAGACTAAATGTATTTTATTATAAGAATCACAAAGTTATTCTCTCATTCTAAAATGACTTCACAATGTAAAATTATCATACGTTGGTATAACAGATTCTGAATACATTTTAATGGAAGATAGCAGTACATTTTGTTGATTACATTTAATAATTGCTTTATTAATTTCATCATGATCTGACGCAGCTTCCATTTGAATAATTTATTGGTTACTTCATCCTTTTCGACCAGCTCGTTTGCAACAATTGTTGCGATCATAATTTTAACTTCGTCCACCATTTTGCCTAGTTGTCTAACTAAGAATAATTGTTCAATGATGCTCAGAACATTCTTAGCTCCGCCCACTAAGCACTCAAATTCTAAGTAAGGTTTTCTTCGTTACTGAACACGGCCCTCTCCCTCACCATAAACCACCAAATTATAGGCTTGGTTAGACGGATTTGCTAAAAAAGGACCTTCTTATGTTGATAATTCAATCTATTTCTAATCAGTTTCCCAGTAATCTAATTAGCATTCCTTAAGATATAGCCAAATAACAAATTTTTCAATAGTAAACATATATGCTTATTATTAGTACATTAACATTAGTACAGTAGTGTGAACAATTAGTTGCTGTATGCTATGTTTATACTCTACAAAAAGTGTAATTTGAAAATATGAAGGAAAATCAAACATAACTACAGGTAAAGTGTTTTTTATATTGAAGTAACTATATCTATCCAAAAAAGAGGAATTTGTTCCTTGTACAAATGTATAGTACACAATAAAAACAATACCAGTCTAGTAATAAGAATAATTAAATCCTTAATTGAAAAATAATGCATTAAAATACATCTTTGAATCAAGGACCATTAAAAAAAAATTGAAATATACTGAACACAACTGAGTTTCTGAAGCAATTTACATCAAAGCTTAAGTGCTTTGATTATATTTTCATCAATGACTATGAAACTTTCTGCTAATATTACAAAAACCGTCGTCAAGCTTGGTACCAAGGTTCTGTAAATCTAATTTAAATATTTCACGGTTCCTTTAGTTTCTATTTTAAAAATTAGTTTATTGCATAAGCTTGCATTCATATAAAGTATTTTAGAAATTAACAATTGCAGTTTTAACATTTATAACTAATATATTTACTACTAACAGTCTTTTAATGTTTTACAAATGTATATTCGTTAATAAAACGTACGAATCGTGCTAATTTAGCACTTATTGATAACCAAAATGATGATTAGAAGCACTTTTTAATCCTCGAAGTAGTAAAATAATAGTGCTTAAAAACATTAATTTTCCTTGGTGTTAAAAAGTTTAATTCATAAGAAACAAATTTTGTTATATTTTAACCTTTTATACCGAATGCATTAAAATATTTTGTAGTCCCCAACTGAGGTCTCTTGGTTCCCTACAGATCTATGGCCACTAGTTTCAGAAGCACTGAATTAAAAATGTTGTATGTAATTGCTATTCTCCAGTTCTATGTGAAATTGATAGTTTCTAGCTGCTACTTTATCTGATCTAATGTACTATACATATCTTAAATACAAAAGCATGCAACAAAAACTTAAGGTATTCAATTTTAATAATCTGTTTCCCTAAATTTTCTAAGTAGGTGATATTTATTTTACCTGAAAAACCTAGAAAATTGAAATATAGATACATTAAACCAATCACTATAGAAACAAAGAAATATATTCTAATATTTATTTATCATTACAAATAACATATTACAAGATATATACATTTAATAAATTTCCAATTACATCAAAATATTTCTCTTCTTGGTTTTTCTGTTTGGGCTTCCAAGTTTTGCAATTCTCTTAATCCCTAAAGATAAAATAAATCTATATTATTGTCACAGTTTGCAAAATAATAATCTTTATCGTTATTTACTAATATACAAATGATAATACCTCAAGTACTAATTTGATGTGCGCTTTGACTTTGGCAGAATTTTTTGACAATTCTTCGAGTTCCTTATTCAACTGTTTAACTTTCTTATTTATAAACCGTATAGCTTCATCCAATGTATATTCCAAGTAAAAACCAAATCCAATGTGCAGAAATATTTTTTTGCAATCTGGAACTACCGCTTGGACGTAAAAATTGCATCCAATATCTATTTTAGTTTTTAAAGTTTCCGAAACTTCTTCTTCCTGAAGAAGAAAAATCATTCTAATTTTAAATATGACATTTCTTTGATATCATATATTTTTCTATTATTAAAGTAAACCTATGAAATTAACTTGTGATTTGCTATTAATTATAATAAAATACTTGTAATGTAAGTTTGATTATTTGAAATTCTTTAATTGCTTTTACTATCAATGGTGTTAATCACAGTATTGGTTTTTTAAAAATCAAATAGAGTGGAACCTCTATATTCGTAATATTCGATACTTGTCACATTTTGATGACCGACTTTTCCCCCATATTTGTCGTCATCCCAATACCAGCAGTGCGCTACAATCACATGCCCGTGCCGATCAGCTTGATGTTGCCAATTTAGTGGATTTCAATTAGCTATGCAAATTACCTAAATTATAATGGCCTAGCTAAATTATAATGCTATCTAGATATAAAGAAAACCATACAATTTTAATGGAAACAATGAGATTTGAATATTTTTATTAATTAATTTAAAAAGGCCTAGCTATAAATTTGAATTTTGAGTTGGCAACATTATGTCAGCTAGTTATAGTTAATCAGTCTGCTTTGTGCATTGGAACATCATTGGAATAATGCTCGATGTTCCAAATGCCATTATCAAACTTCTAGGCTTACAAGATGTTTCAAGGCATTCGATGTTCATGTTTTAGAGACAAAAACTTCGGTTGCAACCTCTCTAGTGTTTCCAACTTAGCCAAAGAATTTAATATGCCGAGATCATAACTGGAATTACCTTAATGTTTTAATTGATGATATGGCTTCTAAACAATAACAATCTTACTCCTCTTCCCCTTCTACCACTATACTGTATTTATTTAGTACAATAAAGATACAAAGTTTTACCAGAATAAAAATTTTATCGTCTTTTTTTTTAGGACGGGAATGGATTAATTGAATTTATTATGTTATCAGTTATTTATTATGAGAATTGTTTATACAATACATTCATCATTTTCCATATCAGCCTCATCACCCTACTCACATTCATATAGTATACTACTAATATCCACCAAGACCATTCATTAGATCCTTAGGAACAGATTAATGACGAATATAGAAGTTCCACCGTATATAAAATCCACAAATCAAATGTCATATATGATAATCTTACAGAATAATGGATTTTGCTGTTAAAGCAATGTTAAATCAAAATTTGTTTTAATTTAGATTGAATTAGATAGCCTAATAAATAGGATTGTAATAAAATGGAGGACTTATCATCACATCAGAGGCTGACTGGAATAAATAGACTAGATTATACTAAAATAGACTTTAATTGACCACAATCAAATTTTTAGTAGGAATGCATTTCGGGTAGAAAGACCCCTCTCAGCCTACACACATTCATATAGTATAGTACAGTCGACCCCCCTATAACGTACGTTCCTATAACGACAATTCCTATAACGTAGCGAAAAAATTGTAGAAACTTTCGTATAAAATACCTCCTATAACGTCGTTTCGCGACAAGATTGATAGTCTGGACCAATAGTGGATGAGCAGCCGAACTACTTTCCTCCGACCCTGCGCCACGCTACGGAGCGGCTAAATTGAGTTTGCTATCGTCTGTTTAGTATTATATATAAATTATATATAAATTAGGTACTGTACATATAATTATATATTAATTATATATAAATTAGGTACTGTATATATAATTATATATTAACTTAATTTATTGTAACTTTATTATAATTATATATATGCTTTCTGCCGCCTGGCAACACGCTACGGAGATTTTAGGCTAGTAAGTTGAGTTTATTATCGTCTGTACAGTATGTAAATTAGGTACCGTAAGTCTAATACAGCACTAATTTTATACATTTCTTGTGAAAGAAACACTTCTTATTCAACGGCCATAAAAATTATTTATATTAATGATGTCTCCAAAGGTCAAGTTATTTTTCTGCCAAAAATTCGTTATTAGAAATCGAGGCCGCCGATTCATGTGCTGTTCCGCGATGAAAACCAGCTTTCAGCAACGGCGTAGTCGAACGGTACACACTCGGTAAGTAATCCTATAATTTTTTGTTTATAGCATAGTTTATACAGATTATTCCCAAAAAATTATACGTATTTTGGAAATGTTGAGTGGAATTAGTCTAGAATCGGTTAATTTTATAGAAGAAAACCTTTCGAACAGCCTTAGTCCATAAAGTTCCCACCTATCGGGCTGCGATTGGCTCATGTATTTAATCATTCCTACAACGTAATTTTCGGTTAGCGTGGAACGTATCTAAGCGTTATAGGGGGGTCTACTGTACTAATATCCATAAACATTTTCCATATATATACAGTGCACTATTTACATAAAACTAATTCATTACAATATACTAAAACCAAAATTGCAGAGTATATAAATTTATATTTAGAGTTATATTTTAGAGTTATTTAGAGTAGAATTTAGAGTTATATTTTATCTGGAACCAAAATTCTTTAATTGTAAATTTCTCTTTTTCCAAATTCTGAGAGATAATTCCACTATTAAATTAAATTATTGTCAATTATATTATAAACTGAAGGACAAATTGAATCAATAAACTTACATTATTAAAAATTAGTTTTCCTTTAAATATCATTACATTAGGACAAGGTATTAATCCAATCTTTTCACACCCTTCTGTTATTAAATAATAAAATAAGACCTTACAACCAATTCATAAGAATAATACAAAGCCAACTCCTCTAACAGATTTATTACAATTTCCTTTACACATTATTTTGAAGTTTCGAAAGTCACATTGTTTTTTACAAAACAATGTGACTTTCACCCCATATGCTTTGCCTCGTTCTCAAGTTCTGTAATACAGTTATGCTCCACCCCATTCTATCATCATCATGCACTTTCAAAATTTCTATATGTTCTTGTAATTTTCTTTTTATTTGATTATTTTCTGTCAGTATAAATTTAATACCATCTTTATAATTTCACATCCTTTATTATTACAATGTTGTGCCACTGATATGACAAGATTAAATTATTTTTAATGGCATATTAGTTTTCTTCCAGTTTTCCCAATATATATTTTTCTGTGTAAACAATTGCAATTTAGAGAATAAACTACATTATCTTTCTATAAATCATTATGTTCATTATTATTATTATATTGGGTTGGGGAAAAAGATATCCATTATTTTTGTTTATTTCAATACTTTATTTAACGTGGTTTGGATTGTCCGACTTGGGTCAAATATGCACCGTTTTGTTTTATAATTTGTTGCCATTTTAAAGGTAATTTCATAATGCCTCTCTCATAGAAACCCTGATCCCTATTGGTGAAAAACTCGACTAAGCGATTTTCACAATCTTCTCTTGATGCCAATTTATTATCACTAAGGAAATTTTGCAATGATAAAAAAAAGATGGTAATTGCTTGGTACCAGGTCTGGACTATAAGTGGATGCATCAAAACTTTTCAACCAAGCTCCCTGAATTTCTGATGAGTCCCTATAGATGTGTGTGGCCTGGTGTTGTCCTGATAAGACACACCACCTCTCCTGTTGGCCAATTCTGGCCACTTCTGGTCAATCGCTAGCTTCAAACGATCCAATTGTTGACAGTATAGATCCAAATTTAGTGTTTGGCCATATGGAAGCAGCTCATAGTAGATGATTCCTTTCCAGTCCCACCAAATGCACAGCAAAACCTTCCCGGTCATTACTCCTGGTTTGGCCACCATTTGAGCCGCTTCACTGCACTTTGACCACATTTGTTTTTGCACAATATTGTTGTGTAACCCATTTCTCATCCCCAGTCACCATCCATTTAAGAAATGGGTTGATTTCATTCCGTTTGGACAAGACTTTGCAGATGAAAATTCGATCCATGTTTTTTGTGTCAATTCGTGTGGCATGCAAACACAAGCTTCTTTTTGAATCCAGCTTTATGCAGATGGTTTAAAACTGTTTTGTGGTCAATCTTTAGTTCCTGGGTGATGCTACGACTGCTAACATGCCGGTCTACTTCAATTATTTCCATGATTTTATCGACATTTTCGACAACGGGCCTACCTGCGTGAGGTGCATCTTTAACATCGAAATTACCGGAACAGAATCGACGAAACCAAAATTGCACATAATTGGCTATGACAATATTGGGACCATAAACACCATTCACAATTTCATCCGCTTGGCTTGCATTTTCGCTTTTATCGAAGCAAAATTGTAAAACAAACTAATTTTCTCTTTGTTAACTTCCATCTTTTACACTCTATATATAACTCACAACTGAATCGACCAATCAAAAAACTGTAAAAGAATTTGTTTTAGTACAGAATGTCACTTTTCCAACGAGCACAACTCCGAACTTGTTTCATCAATATTTTACAAGATATATATCACTACAGCCATCTAGCAACAAAATAATGGATTTCTTTTTCCCCAACCTAATATTTACTGTTAATAATTTTTGCTGTGGTTCTTGTATGATTTGGTACTACAATAATAATATCTAAATTTTTTAAGTTCTTTTTTTTAATTTTTCAAAAACACCAAATATATATTCCATTTTAAGATCCAGGAGAAGTTAAAATATTGTTTGTCTATTTAATATTACATTTTTTTTATTTTACCGGTTTCTAACCATTTTAGCAATTAAGTTCTAGGATAATTATTTAAACTAAACATCCTCCATTTTATTACAAACCTATTTATTAGGCTATCTAATTCAATCTAAATTAAAGTTTGTGGGCTAGAAGTGCTATTTAATATTAAAATTTGTTCACATTATTATTACGTAGCTTAAAACAATCAATTTACTCTTGCATTGTGTTTTAATAGGTATTTGAATATAAGTTTGACGATATTGTTATTGCTTACAATAATAATTTACTTTAAATAAGAATAAATTCAAAAACTTCAGAAAGGATATCATAATCACTTTCAAATATTAGTTACTTGTCATCAGGAGCTACTCGTAATACCCTTGTTCTATTTTATATAACAAAGTTGTTCTAAAATGGAACAAATTCTAAATTTCTGCTATTGTTACAATTAACTAAATAATAGTTAAAAGTAACAAAGTTTTCTTGGTAACTCCTACTCTATTAAAGTAGTTTTTACTACTGTATATTTATTTCTTTTGGAGTATTAATCTTATATTATTCAAATGCTATACTAACAAACAAAAGTTACCTGTAGTCTTTCAATGACAGTCTGTAATTGTAAATATTCTGCTAATCTGCCGCACACTCGATCACGTTCTTTCAGAATCTTTCTTAAAATTGAAAAATACATTGATAATTTAATGTTCTCTCTATGATTAAAATAGTTTTATTAAAGCCAATGGAAAACAACTTACTTTAAATCTTCCTTTAAAACATCATTTATAAAATTTTCATATACAATAACCTTGTTTTTATAATCCATTATTTTTTGTATTATCTGAAAGAAAATGTAACTTATACTGAAATGCAATTTTTTCAATGCGATGACACTTAGCGATAATAACATCATAATAGTCGACAAATACTATTTATACAACAAATATACTAGTATATGAAAAATGACATACTTGCTTACCCTTCGTTCAATATAATCAACAACACAAAATTGGGTATACTTAATAAACAAGGCAAACAAAACCAATTTGCGGCACAAAAATCGAGAAAGCAAATATTTCTGACCGCGTATTAACCCGAAGACATCCATTTAACACGGTCAAACTTTCTCATAATTTTTGTTCCGGAAATTGGTTTCGTTTGCCTCGTTTATCTTCATTCAATACTTATTTAATACAACTATGCACGCATCAAAAGCACCAACATACACCCACAACTGCCGTAAACGATCGAGCCATAATTTGGATATAACGATTGTAGATTAGAAACGAATTCAACTACAGAGAGGCGTTAGGCGTGCCATCTCATATTAAAATTAATAGTTATAATTTTACATTATATCTGTCAATCTACAGTTATTATATCCAAATTATAACCCGATCCGTCTAAGGCAGTCGCGGGCGTACATTCGCTCAGTATTGGGTCTCCGTCGGTGTTTATATTAGCACCAACCAACACCCGTAATCCAGTTAAAATGAATCAATTATTGGTTCATTTTAACTGGATTATAGATGTTGGTTGATGCTTTTATTGTGATTTCATCCAATAGTATCCTATAATACACACACATTTTCATTTCATATATATATATATTCTAGTCAAATGATATATTTCATTGGACCCATTGCAATGGTTTAATGTAATTTTCATAACTTGCCTTGGCTTAATTTATCATTGTTATATAAGTTTAAAATCATTACGTCACGTGTCTCTTATTCATTGTCTTTTAAGACAAGTCACTAGAAAACATCTTTTAGCGACATTTCTCGAGAATATTTGGGGGGAGGCAGCGCGAAGAAACCGAGTTATACGCGAAAACTCGTAGATGTACTTACCGAGCGACCATCACTGTTTTCGTCACGTGCTCGAACACAAGAACAAGGGAAACATTACACCTGATCGAGCATTAGTTCTAAATTATGCCGCTACGGCAAACAGCGCCAATAGCCGAAAGTTCAATTTGTGGTAGTTTTTTAAATTTATTAATTAGTTTTAATTAACTGGCTATCTAGTTACGTATTAATATATAAAAATATACTCCCATAATGTCCACACTACATTACCCTAATTGTTTAATTAATATAGCTATTATAAATATGTTTGTCCTAATTCTGATCAAAGACTGGTTTTTTTCATTAAAATATAATTAAAATTAATTACACTACTAGTCTAGAGCTTGTATGGGGCCCGGGGATAGAGTAGGTTTCTTCGACCACACATCAAACTTCCGGGTATTAACGCCGCAGCGGCATGATTTAGAACTAATGCCGCTCGGGAAGGAGAACCGTCTTTTAGCTGCAGAGACGGACCACTTCGGACGTAAATATCGAGGCTAAAGGAAGGAATTGTCAGGCTTTTCGAAGCCGGAACAGACAGCCTGAGATTTTGAGTCCGAGCAAAGGAAAACCTGAGAGAGTAACTGGCTTTCCCGTGGAAATTCGGTGTACACCGCCTTCTACCGAAGGAAAGTTTTTGTTGAAATTCTTCTTTAATTAACTAACCGTAAGTCGCGTTATTTCAATTTAAAACTTTTCTCCTAAAAGCAGTTTAATCTCCTAAAAAGCGTCGTGAACAAAATGGTGTACGTACATCGAATATTAATTTCTCGCCGAAATAATATACTATGTAAGAGATATAATACATTGCGGGCCAACTAAAAACAATTTATGTGCAAGTGTCTAGTGTACTGTACAATAAGAAACTGTTTATATGCGAGTGTCGCTACTTGTTAAATACTTTCAACACCTAATATAAGAAGGTGACAGCCGGATGTTTGAGCGGTTAGGACTTCAGTCTACCAGAGATCGAATTTGAACTGTTCAAGAATCTGTACCCGATGTGTGAAGACAGCCCGGCAGCCCAAATTGTGGATCTTCAGAAACCAAGCATGGGTAAGATTAATTAAAACGGTCCTCTCTTCGTGCCCTTCATAAACAAAACAAAAAAAATCACCAGCTGCCATATTGCGAGTGTGATGAAATATACGACGAGCACCAAGATCTTTAATTAGTGATCTTAGGTAAGAGTTAGCAATACTGAAATACGAGCGCAGATAATTTCTTACTGTAGTAAATTACCAGAGATTTAACAGAAAAATTCACCACAAAACGATTATTAATGCTAATGTGTGAAATTTTTATTTAATCCACGCAAGGCGTGACTACCAGAAACCCTTCGGCCGCCAATTTAAAGCGTTTTAATCTTTAAAATTGGCATTTCCACTTCCCGAGACGAGGACCCAGAGGTTGGATTTATGGGAAGCGAATGTTCGGGTTGTTTCATTGTGTGAAATTACACAGAACGAGGCCCTTGACGCGCGAGTGCGAGAATTCGAGTAAATGTTAAACGGTGTATATGTTTAACATATATATCTTCGTGTACAGTGATGTGTCCGTGCATGTGTGTGTACGTGTGTGATCGAAGAACATCTTCGGCATGTCTATAAACCAGTAGCGTGCCGTGACATTTGATGATAGGGAAGCTGTGTTTCTGTAAGAAGCCGACTTCCAGGGACAGCCAGTCAGCGATGGTCTAGAGTCTATTCGTATTCGTTTGTTCGATAAGCCAGTAAAAACCGTAGACTTCTCTAAATGTATTTTTAATTAATAGATTATCTAACGCAATAAATAAGCGAGTTCAATATAATTACCTCTGTTATATTAGATTTAATAGATTCTCTACGCCCAATTCTCGCTTCGATAACATCTACTAATTTAAATATAATATATCTATTAGCCGTAACTATCTCGTTATAATTTTCAATATTTAGGCATTAGTCCTTCTCTTTTAATAATGTTTTCTTTTTCATTATACGGTCTCGAGCCAAAACTTTTTTGAAATAAATTTTCAATTTCACAAATATATTATGACTAGCAATTTAGAATGTAAGGACTAAAATTAAAAATAAAATTATAAAAACTTGTTAAAATAGAATGTCTTGGTAGGTGTGCGGAGCGTGCATGCTTGCCAAATCCCGAGGGTGCCGATACCGGTTGTCTCTATTGTCTCATCACTAGTATATCTCAAAGGACGCGACAGGGTTGTTGTAAATTTTAAACGTTTCTCATCATAGCTGTAAAAATCTAAATATGTTAAACTTAAAAGTCATTTGTTTTCTAACTAATTCGTCTTAAGAACAGGTGTCCAAGGAAATTTCCAAAATTTACAACTTTTAGTCACTTTCATTGAACTGGAAAAATGTCTGTCTTTATTACATCTAATATTACGAAGAAATCAGTCCACACTGTAATCAGCTAGAGATTGATTCGGTACAGCTTTTGTTTAAGTAAAATTCCGGCTCTTTCGGCAGGGTTTTATTTGTGTCTCCACTTCCCTAATCGCTTAATTACAGTATTTAACTACTACTTAAGTAGAAATAAGTCGAAACCAGTTACCCGAATATTAAAAAATTATTCGTATGAAAAATTAATTTTGTGATCAGTACTATCCAAACCACTACTACTACTATTTACACCATAGACTTCTATGCATACTTTTTTTTCCCGCGAGTTTTAATAGAATTTATTGCCAATAAACATCAGTGGCGTAATAATAAACACAATGGCGTAGCGAACATAACTGCACCCGGGCCGCGACACTATATTGGCGCCCCCTTTATAAGAATAAGAGTCAAATCGAATCGGCCGTCCATCGAACCATGGGCCGAGATGTCTTCTGGCAACATTAAATAAATGCTTACGTCTAGGATCAATATGGACTAAGACTTACTTTAAAAATCTTTCTTCTCTAAAGTCTTCTTTAGCAAACTCCGCAAACAGCAAAAACAATCAACGCAATCGAAAAGCTGGACAAAAGCACGTCCGACTCCGAGCTGAAGCACAATCGAACTGCGAATCATCTCGTGTGACGAATTTCGAACAAACGTTAAAAAGACGCGTCAACACGTTCGAATTTCGGTAAAAATTAGAAATAAAAAAATTAATTTTATTATTTAATTAATTTATAGGGGAGACTATCCGATTTTTTTGAAAGAGCGATATAAACTGTTGTTTTTTTCTTTTTTTTAGGTAAGTTTACTTTATAAATATGTCCCAGACTCGGAAGAGGAAGACTTTTTCTCCAACCGTTCCGGAAAGATCAACAACTAGATTTAGGGGTGAGACTACTTCTGGTGAAGAGGATATTGCGAATTTATTACAGGATTCAAATTTTGATGTGGCGGAAGGAGTTAGGCTTCTATTGCGTTTGCATGTTTCGTTGAATGGTAAGGTTGATGAATTCATCAGAAGACTGGATCACCTGACAGAGTGGCTCAAAAATGTAGATGAGGCGTTGATTGATTTCGAGGTGAGGTTGGGGGAGGTTGAGTCAAAGGTTGGAGGGGAGGTAACCGGTGTTGGGCATTCGGTGAATACGGATAAAATTCTTACAAAATTGTCTTCTTTTGAGAGAGAACTGGATGCTATGGACAATCAGAGAAGGATGAACAATGTTGTTATCCACGGATTGGAAGAGAGGAAAGAGGAGTCGTCTTTGGAANTAGGAAAACTCATCAACTACAGCTCTAACTATCTGTTAAACTTCGGTAAAAAGTTTTCCGATCACAAGATCATTAGTATTACTTTTAGCAGTAGCAACACCATAAGAAAAGCAAATAACATCAAAATTAATAACATCATCCTCTCCGACAAAACGTTCCAGACAGAAATCAAAGCAACCCTTGATAAAATAAAAGATGACGTCAACTGGAATAAATGGAAAGAAACAAAAGATAAAATAAAAGTAATAACCAACCAAACCTGGTTACGCATTAAAAAAAGCAACTTCAATAGAATGAAACAATTACAGAGACAACTCAGCCACCACATAACTAACAATAATTATGATAAAATTGAACATACCAATAATGAGATCAGCAACGAAATCGAGAACAAAATAAGAGAAACATACACAAGTTATAAGATGAACAAGTTAGGAATAGAGAGACACACTGAAAAGATAATTTTTAAGAAAAAACCTATAACAAAAGACCCGGATATGATCAACAACTTAATTATTGATGGTATACAAACAAATAACGCAGAAAAAATCATCCAGGAATTTCAAGAGTACTATAAAAAACTTTATCAAAAGAAAACCACAAGATGGGATCAAATAGATGAAATCACTAAACCAATCAAATCAGTCAAAGATATAAAAGATGACATCATCAATAAATTAATTACTAAAGAAGAAATAGACAAGGCTATCGATGAGCTGCACGTAAGGAGAGCTCCTGGTATTGATGAAATACCTGCTGAGCTATACCGCTTTTTCAAAGACGATATGTCCAATATCCTGCATAAATTATACAACGATAATACCGAAAATGAAGACTTCTGCAAAGGCCGGATGAAACTCATAAACAAAACTAATAAAAACATTGGACAAGCCACTGATTACAGACCCATCACACTGCTCAATGTCGACTACAAAATCTACAGTTCTATTATTGCCACAAGGCTCGAGAAGTTGCTCCATAACCATATAAGTCCAACACAAACAGCTGGTATTAGAGAAAGAGCCATACAGGACAACACGATGTTCCTTAACCTAATACAGGAGACCTACAAAAGAAGAAAACTACCCCTCTCGATTCTCACCGTTGATGTCGAAAAGGCTTTCGACACTGTGAATCGAGAGGTATTATGGAAAATACTTAATCATATGGGTTTCAATGAAAAAGAGATCAGAAAAATTAAATACATTTATAACAATCCCGTTACTAAAATAACTATCAACCAAAAGGAATCAGATTATATTAACTGCGAAGCTGGGGTAAGGCAGGGGTGCCCCTGCTCAATGATTCTTTTTACTATCTACATTGAAACACTGTTAAACATGATAAATGAAGACAAATTAATCCCCCCAATCCACATCCCAGGTATGGAAAGAAGAATAAAATATGTCGCACATGCCGACGATGTTAACTTCTTCATAAATGATAGTATAGCTCTCAATAGGATGACTACCATAATAAATAACTACTGCAACATAACGGGAATGAAAATAAATATAAATAAAAGCACCATCATCAGGATCTATGGCCATAACAATCTAGAAAGCTCAACCTTCAAAATAGTTAACAATAAAAAGATCCTTGGGATATGGTATGGAACTAATAAAAATACCAAAAACTTAGAGACAATGCAAAAAAAGATTAAAAATGCAATAAACAAATGGGAAAAAGTATGGCTCTACCTGCCTGAACGAACGATAATTGCCAACAAGGTTCTGATTGCGAAGATCATGTACACACTATATACGACCGACCTAACAAAAAAAGATGCAAATAAGATAGAAAAACCAATTTTTAAATACATATGGCAAAAAAACTTTGAACCCCTTAAAAGGAATATAATTAAAAATGACATTGAGAAAGGAGGATGGAGAGTATGGGACGTTTGTATACTAGAAAAGTCTCTGCAACTATCCAACTTGATCAACTCAATCATTAAAAATCATCATCCTCTTGCGGATCTGGCAAAATACATCATAGGACCTTTAACTAAACAGTTCACGAATGATCCATCTAACAAACCCTTCTTAATAGACAACAACAAAACAGCATGTATTTGGAGATACATGATCAAAGGTCTACTAGATGCAAGCATTAATCTTAAAGACATCAAACCTGGTACAATCTATAGAAATAATCATATCAATGCTCCTAACCCCAATCTCAACAACACCAATGTTAACTGGAATGAATGCTGGTCAAATGTGGGCAAACTCCCTGCAGAGTGGAAGGAGACGACATGGAGGCTAATTAATAATATTACCATGACCAAGGATTATTTACACAAATATAACATGCTAAGAAACGCCAAGTGTCCACGATGTGATAGGGACGAAACCACTTATCATCTGTTCTACGAATGCTCAACACCTAAGAAAATATGGACCTGGATGAGAAACATTTTCAATATCGATATTGGCTGGCACCAAATCCTATACCATGCTGACTTCCCTAACACCACCTATAACAATTACTGCCTAAACTGGATAATTGCCCTCACGAAAAGAACAATATGGAAGGCAAGATGTGCCCTCCACTTTGAAAATAAAAAATGGAACGCTGAAATCTGCATAAAAAAGATTAGAGATGAAATTAACTACAAACTCCAAACTGACAATGCTCTACTTAATAAAAAGGACTTTCACACGCTCTACCAGGGCACTATTAATGTTATATGGAAGCATAAAAATAACTGCTATGTTTTAAACGACATGTAACCCATATGCGACACCTATTTGTAAAACCATGTATGATTGTCGGTATTAATGTCAGATGTAATACAAGTTTATTATAACCACTGTCAGGTGGCATCCCCACCCCTAGTATAATATGTGTTCTTTATTATAGTATGTACTATCGAAATTGTTAATGTATATTCCACACGTATATTGTATACTGTGGGCTACAATATCCTCTATGGTCTTGTATATATAACTATCTCCTGGATATTGTAGCATATTTGTTCTGTAAATCAATCATTGTATATGCTTACTCAACATCAGATTACTGGTGTATCCTGTACATTTAACTGAATTTAATAAACTTTAATTAAAAGTAAAAGTAGGCCTAAATAGGCAATTTTTGTAACCCCTCACTCCATGGGGTTTGTCAATGAACAAAAAATAGATAAAAAAAACCCAAATTTCGAATGCCGACTTCCTTTGTTCTTTACTCTTGTATGATCCGTATGCGAGGCGACAGCTTTTCCTCACACACCCGTCAGTATTTAGTCGAATTTTTATTATTCTTCACAATCGTCTAATCAGGGATCACCAAACTACGGTCCCCGAACTCATCTCATCTCCCTCCCTGACACACTGCCACAAATGAGCTAAAATATAATCATTTATATAGTTTGTACATAAATTTACTATGTGCAAAGACTTAAAATAAGTGTAAGTAAAAATGATAAAATTGGTCCAATCTCATTTTTGCATCCGAAAGTGTTATGTATGTAAATCTCCGGGGGATAACCCACACCGAATTGCCCCTTGACCTAATTAGGCGACCCCGCACCTCTGACCTTTGTCTCCGGTCAGTCGCGCGTAAGCTGTAGTAACACTTAGACCTGGAGGCGCAACGTTACGTTTGTATTAAAGTTACATTTTTATTATAATAAATTCAATTATATACGTTAACGAGTAATCGTTTATTTTACGGACACAACAGAGAGTAATATAATTTTTAGGAAAATCGGTGAAATGAAAGATTCGGCGACTTTGGACATCAGAGCGCTTTTTGTGGAAGTATCTGCAATGAAGTCTCTAAGAAGAGCCATTACGAGCTGGCTGTAGCCATCGTGATTGTGTATTGGTAAATAAATACGTTGGTCGTCTTTGTTATTTGTATATTCAGTGTACTGATTGAACAAAATGGTTATGCGGCCCGCGCTCGTCATTCTCTCAGTCATGTGGACCGTTGTGATAAAAGTTTGGTACCCCTGGTCTAGATCGTGCGTTTCAAACTCGCGGCTCACAACGATTATTAATTTTTTATTAAAATGTTCTATTATTTAATGTTAACGATTACTAATTTATTTTAACCTTTTGTATTTGGCGTGTCTCTGTCGAAACCGAGTGGTTGTAAAATAAACGAAAAATTGCTGACGAACGTCGAAATTTCCAAGTGAAAATTGGAGTATCTCTGCTGTGAGATAAAAAAAAAAAATAAAATAACTTGTTTGATATGTAATAATCAGTGACGTAGCGTAGTGGGGGCTGCAGGGGCGGCCCGCCCCGGGCGGCAATTTATACAGGGCGGCAAAATTTCACAGTAAATAATAATAATATCTTGTAAAAATTTGAACCATTTTATTTCATATTTTC